TCATTTCTGGGCTAGAATATATTGGCTATTGCCCCACCCCCTGGCTCTGAATATACGTACACATAACAGGTAGAGTCTTGCCTCTGCTCTGAATAAGCAGAGAGAGGACCCCAGCCTTGGAATATCCAGAAACCACCAGGAGAAAGAATCCACACTGCGAGGCAGCCTGGAGTGAGGGAACAGGGATGCATGCTGACTGAGCAAATGAGTCCATCAGATGCAGCTGAAGTAGGAGGATTGCTAAAGGGTGAGCTGGGCCCACACCCCTGCTTTCCTGTAGACAGGAGCCCTGCTACCAGCCAAACCTCCCATAATTGAGTAAAATGACAACCAGACACCGTTCCGAAACAGAAATGATATTTATAAACAGGGTCGATGCTGGCTTTTCTAGCTTCTGATTGCTGTCTGGCCCTGATTCTATCCTTACAAAAATTCTGTCCTTTTAACGCCAAATTCAGGATTTGAATTTGGCCAAGTCGTTACCACCATATTTCCCCAAATCTCTTAAAATAGAATTGAATCATAATTTCCAAAAAGGGCCCACCATGCAAAAATGGATGGGCTCACGGAGGATGCCAGGTTTGCAGGATGCATTTGGTCCATGAATAGTAAGATCGCTTTTGATTTAAAAAAATGTGACTGAAATGCAGTTTCTAACATTGCACTAAGAGTCCACACTGGGGAAGTGGAGACGCTGGCTGCTTGCCAAAATCCTTGGGCTGTTTCGGTCTCAAAAAAGATTCTGTTCTTCCTCTTGCCTCTCTTCTCTTCTCTTCTCTTCTCTTCTCTTCTCTTCTCTCCTCTCCTCTCCTCTCCTCTCCTCTCCTCTCCTCTCCTCTTCTATTCTCTTCTCTTCTCCTCCCCTTCCTTCCCCTCCCCTTCCCTCTTCTCCCCTCTCCTTTCCTCTTCTCCCCTTTCCTCCCTCCCTCCCTCCCCTTCTCTCTCCTCTCCTCTGAATCTCTCTTCTTCCCCCCCCCCCCCGCCTTTCTTTGTGTCTTTCTAGACTTTCTCTGTCTTTCTTGTGTTCTTGAATCCACGGGATATAATCAGAGCTTGCTGGGAAGGCTTTTCTGCAGGATTTGTCTATGCCCTATGACAAAGACTTTCAAGGATCCAACCCTTTTCTAGGCATGTGATAAACACAAGGCTTTAGACATAAACTTTCCTGTAAATCCTCACAGTCTCTGAACTGTGGGAGAGTGTGAGGGCCAAGCCCACACCTCCACATACAGCCTGACATTTCCTGGAGCCTAGAAGGCCCTTCAGGACATGATGGTCACCCCAGGAGGAGTGCCATTTTCATCCTTGGGTGGGCCCCGATACCTTACCCATGCATCTTTCATCTTACATGGACCCTTGTATGAGAAAACTGAATACAGGGACCTGTTCCCAAACTCAAAGCACAGCAGTGTCCTTCTTAACAAAGGATCCTGGGGAGCCTCCCAGCCCCTGTCTCCCTCAGCGGCCTCCCAGCCCCTGACTCCCTAGCGGCCTCCCAGCACTTCTAAAACGTGGATGGTGCTGCCTTCTTTCTACAGGAGTGTAAAACAGGGTTCAGAGAGGAGAAGGCTGTGGCCAGGATTTGAACCTGGAACTCTCAACTCTAGCCTAAACCTCTTTCACTTCAGCACCCTTGGAGCATTGCTAGGAGGATAGATGTGGGGGCTGAGTCTCCAGGACAGAGTGTTTTGGGCAGCCCTACGCCCCACTTAAAAGCAAGTCATACAACCTGCTTGTTCCTCTTGACTTTCGTTCTTTGTTTGACAGATCCAGCTCTTCCCCACTGTCTACTCACCTTTCCCTTCTGGTCCCCATCCTGCAGTCTCTACTGCAAGCCTTGGACATTAGGGCTTCTCTAGTTGCTTTAGGCTGAGTTAGCAGCCAGTGAGGTATTCGTGGTGTAGGCAGACGTAACACCCCAAACTAAAACGTAAGGCAGAGGCAAGGAGTGTGGGGATCTCTGTGCTTTTTCTGAGATCGAGGAAAAGACCTGGAGGGCGGCAAAACTCACCTCCCTGTTTTCTCATCCCCCTCATTTGCTAACTTCCCACTGAGAAATTCAGAAAAACAGGTGGAAGAAGAAAACTCCAAACCATGCTCATGTACGAAACCAAATGAAATAAAACCATCAACAGAAGCGTGTGGCACCTGCCTGTGTGACAGAAAGACGAAGACGTTTAGTCTGGACCCAACTAGACTAAACCTGGGAGGCAGAGGGGGTGTGGCAGCTCAGTTTCTCCTGATTCGAAGAAGCAGAGACCCACACCCTCGTCCTCTGCCGCTGTGCATCTTGTCAGCGTGCGAGGAGGAGTGCTGTTTCCATGGCAATGACCACCAGAGATTCCTGTCCTCTCTGAGCACTCCATGATCTGCTCCCGATTCCAGGCTGAATTGAGGTGCTTGTGGGGACAGTGGAGGGCCACGTCACAATTTCCCCTAAGATACCAAGACCTCTGGCCTGATAGACGTGGCACCTGTGACCTCTGTCTCTGTGAGTCTGGTCACAAGTCCTCGGAGAACTTCAAGTGCTGCCAAAGAGCTATAGTCAGGGAACCGGCCAGCTCCGGAGGCATGGCGATTGGCAGCGCTGTCTCCCTCAGTTGCTGCTTCCTGGGGGAGCCCAGTGTACTTACAGATGCTCCCTGTATGTGAATGGTGGCCCTTGAATGCAAACGGCATATTGGAAATCCAGCCTGTTACAGACTCAGCAATGACCTGCACCTTGTTCCCCCAAGTCTAAGAAAACACAAAAGACACAGATTTCAGTAATTCCCCTCAAGAAGACGCTGTGCTCTACAGGTGCCTTGCATTGGTGACGGATGGATCACGTGACTCAGGGCTCCACTCAGTTCCCTACAGGTTGGCCACAGAGCTAATTGAGGCTTCTGTGGAGATGAAGTCAGAGCTCAGACTCCCTCTCCATGTTTCCAGTCCATGTTGATATTGAGAATCTCCACGAATAAATGTCTCACTTGCTGGTATCTAACTCAGATGTGTCCTACAGGGAGTTTAGACAGTGGCCAACTGTGTGGTCTGTAGGTAACACCAGTCAGAAAGACCCTTGCAGGGAAAACATAATCCAGGAAATGACCGCCAGGGCCTGGAAATGACCGCCAGGGTCTGGAAGTGGCCACCACGGCCTGCCAGCGTTCTTGGATCCTGGACACAGTTAGTGCTAAGTTTTCTCAGTCAGTACAAACCTACTGAATATCCATGTGTTAGCTCTGTCCCAGGACTGAATCTAACTGGACACTGACATTCACTCCTGCCGTCTAAGCTTGATAAGATTGACAGAAGCCCCTGTGGGGAAGGACTTCTTCCTGTCTTTCTATCTTACAAGGGCCTTTGTTTGACAGTGGGCTACCCAAGCCATTCGGGCTCATCCCCACATCTGGAGAGCCTTACTTTACAGATCCCCTTTCTCATGGATAGTAACACTCATAAATTCTGGGGAGGGGGATGTAGACCCCATAGGGGAGGAGCATCACTCAACTTCCTATGTCAGCGACTGCACTCAAGAGAGCAACCCAGGCAAAGGAGAGAATCTGTGCAGGGCTGGAGAGGCAGGATCTACTGTTGCCTGAGCAGCTGCAGACATTCCATGTGATGGAGCAGAGCTGGAGGGTCTCAGGGGACCAGGGTGAAGGCAGAAGACCAGTGCTAATACAGGAGAGCCAAGCCAAGGCACAGGCCAAACAGTGGTAGGGAAGCTGGTTCCCTCGGGGCACTAGATTCATAGTTAACCATATAGACGTCTTTTCTCTCTATTTGTTCATAACCACCTGGGTCAGGATTGGGGTCAAAGTCTACTTCTTTCTCTTGGGGTCATGGGATCCAGTCGAGGGCTTCCTATGCGCTAGGCACACTAACCTCAAGCTTGCAATTCTCCCTACTTGTTCTCTATAGTACTTGCCTAAATGTATGTACCACCAAGGCCAGCTCAGTATGTGCTTGGCTCTACCACAATCCTGGTCAAATGACAATATGTGTCAACACAGAGTATACACATAGGATGTTGACTAAAAGCAGCATGGCTAGGACACCATGGAACGTATAGACTTCATGCTTCCTACCCAGGTCTGGATCCCGCCACGGGACTATCAGTGATTCTGCCACCTCTTCACACTGCTGTGCACCCTACGAGGCTCTGTGTACCTCACCCCTGCTCACACAAGCCCTGCTGCTGTGTTTCAGATCGCCTGCATCTCAGCCTTATCATCCTATAGCTGAGGGGACAGGACATTTCTGTGTGGGGGGACCAGGCTAGCGAAAGCTTTGAAAGGATCTCACATAAAGGTTGAACACGGTCCTGATTGCAGCTCGGAGCCTGGTCCACCAAGCCTCACTGTGCTTTTCTTTCTGAGGTCTCTTCAGAATTTAGTCTTTAAAGGGTCATATGATTGAGGCTGGAAGAAGCTACAGGGATGGTGCAGTGGTTAGGGACTGCATAATGCCCTTGTAGAGGGCCCACATGCCTAACAGCTATCTGTAACTCCAGCTTCAGGGAATCTGTGGTCCCCTACATACACACACACACACACACACACACACACACACACACACACCTATTTTATGGCTCTGTACACATACATCTGCATAGATGAAACTTAAAAAAAAAAAAAAACCTTTTTCAAGGGTTCCATGAGCAGAGGTGAGGTATACATAGTATCATGGAAGTCTCAATAGGCACCCGGAAGCGGCAGAAAACCCTGGTGATCATTGGTCCAGCCCATAGGCAAGCAGCATGGAGCCTGTAAGATAAACTCCCCTGGGAACTCAATGAGAATGGGCCTAGGAGACTGCTCCATAAGCTACAAACTTTTGTGCGCCCACGAGGGTGAGGCCTCGGAAACACAAACGTCACTTCCTTAAGGACTAGGGGGCTTCCTGACATTCCGGGTAATTAATGAGATACGTGGTCATCCCTTGTAGAGTTCTTAGGACTCACTGATGGCTTTCTTTACTGAAACAACCTCTCTTTGGTGTCCCCTTTTTAACAGACGCTGAAGGACGCCAGCGACAACGCCCGCAAGGACTTCCACCGTGAAGCTGAGCTGCTGACCAACCTCCAGCATGAGCACATTGTCAAGTTCTATGGCGTCTGTGTGGAGGGCGACCCTCTCATCATGGTCTTTGAGTACATGAAACACGGAGACCTCAACAAGTTCCTTAGGTACAGTGAGGGGTGGAGCCCCCTGGGCTTGAGAAGGGGCAGAATGTCACTGCTCAGATAACCAGGAGCAAGGATGGGAAGCCACTGGGAAGGGGAAAGGGAAACCCAAGCACCCGCACACAATGGACAAAGGAACAGAGGGAAAGGAGGAACACATTCCTTTTTCCTGCCTGGTCACCCCTCCTAAAGTGTAGTTAATTAGTCCTTCTGCATTCATTGAGCATTTGTTACATTTAATGACACTGTGTGTCTGGAAAAGTGTGCCAAGTGCACTACCCAAGACTACGGAAACAGAGAAAGCGAAGGTACTTAGGCAGCACCATAGATGTTGTAGTGGGGTCAGAGTGAAGCATCCGGGAGGGATGGCAGGAATGGGGTGGGGGAGGGGAAGTAGGAAACAGCTCCGGGCATGGAAGCTGGGGAGCTATTGTGTGGAGCAGATCTGCCCTCGGAAGCTCTTGGATCTAGAATGGAACAGACAGAGCCCAAAGACCAAAGATTTCAAAGGAAAAGGATGGGACAACATTTGACAGAGCCATTGAAGTCTTGCAAATGTGACTATTGCTAACAAGGTCCCCCTGAGCAAAGTGTATGTAAGCAGGGTCCCTAAAAGAGAAACAGAGTGTTAGCGCCACTTGGATTTCGAGCCCAGTCCTCATTAAGTCTCAGTTCAGCAAAGGCTTCTCAAGCAGTCCCATCCCTCAGACAGCGGGAGGAGGAGACACAAGAGAGTGGGAGGGACTTTAGAGTGCTCATGAGCCTCGAGGAAGTCATTTGTTCTGGAGTGTGAGCAAGTCACAGAGTGTCAGGGGTAAAGAGTGGCTTTTGAGGTGATGCCAGGGTACACCAGCAGAGCTGCCACCCCCGAGCAGATATGAAGCTGCTACCTAGCTGTGGCATGTATGAACTGAGTCTTCTCAGTGGTACTGAGCTCCAGCATGGCAGTTACAGTAGGCAAAGTCTGGAGAAGAATTCTCCTGGTGACCAGCTTGGTCATCAAGACTGCGGGCTGGCTGTCACCCTGGTAGGGTCCCCTGGTGAATGTCCCCATCCTGTGACTGTCTAGGGAGAAGCATACAGTGAGTCAGATACACAACACATGACAAGAAAGAAAGGAAATAATGTCTTCATTCTCATTGGGCAAAGACGGAAATAGAGATGGATCTTACATGTAAGATAATCGGGGTGAGGCACCACATTCCAGCATGGCCAGAGAACATGGGTTCTCCTCCTGAATGGGGCCTCAGCTCTGGCCCAGGCACCTTTGCCCCAAGTCCCTTACAGACCTCTCTATGTGTTCTTTTCCTTAAACATCAGCTGGCATCTCAAAATATTCGCCTGCACATGTAGTTTGGTGGGGGATTATAACTAGGAGAAAGAGAGGATGTCAGGAGCATACAGATCACCTCCCCTCCCTCGCCTCATTTTTCCTGATAAGGCACCCCAAGAACAAGCTTAGAGGGGAGTTATCAATAACTTTTGGTCCCATGGTCCCCTGTTTCTGCCATGTTTTCCTCTGTTCAGAGATTCAAAAGCCCAGTGAGTGTATTTTTTGTGTAATGGTCACTCATAGTCCTCCCCGTCCTCCTCTTGTGCCCCCGGCTGCTGCCCAAACAAGGAAGGAGAGCTTCCCATTTACTGCAAGATTCACCCTGCAGTCTTAGTAGGGATGGCCAAAGGGGACAGAGCTCACTGCTCTTAGAACTGGCTCTACGGGGCACTGATGTCTGGACCATTTTTACGGTCTGCCTTTTATACATACGTCTCAGTTCTTGCTTAGGCTGGATCTCTGCTTTCCCTGTGGTTGTGTGTGTACGTGCAGATGCCAGGTGAGATCAGGAGTGCACAGGGCAGTCAAGGCATTGAGAGGCAGCCCTAACCTGCCCTCCTGTGTTATCAAAGCATTCATTGTGGGAAAAAGTCAGGGGGCAGTGGCAGATTCTGGACTTTGCCGGAGCCGACATGAGAAGAAGGAAAATATTAACTTTGGTTGAGGACTAGTTGTTCCTGTGAGAGATATTTTCATCATTCCTCAGGCTCTCTCCCTAATCCAAAAACGTTTTTTTTTTCTTAAATACTATAACAAAATAAACCCACATGCAGTTATCTGGATGCAGTTTTATGCATCTGCATGTTCAGACATCTGTGTGTGTTTGTGTGTGTATGTTAAACGGTGTGACTAGGGGTGTTTGTGTATGAGTGTGCTCTGTGAGTGAGTGAACGTGTGTGTGTCTATTATGGGGGTGAGTATATGATTATGTGAGTTTAAGTACATATGTGTGAGTGTGTATTAGTGAATTGTGCTCTGTGTGTCAATGTGAGGGGCAGGGTAGCATATGTGTGTCTGTGTGTATATATGCGTGAATGTATGAATGAATGTGTGTCTGTAAGTGTGAGTATGTGTAGGTGTAACTGTGTGGATATGAGTGTATGTGCAAATGTGCGTATGTGTGTGTTGCATAAGTATATGTATTCAAGTGTAGGTAGATGTGAATGTATATGGGTATGAATGTATGTGCATGTGTATATGTGCATATGAGTATGTATGTGTATATGTGCACGTGTTTGTACATATGTGTATGCATGTGTATATATGCGTGTATGTGTATATGCATGTGAGTGTGTCTGTTACCACTCATCTTTGGGCTTTCTGTCAGCCACACCTAAGCTTCCCCTCTGCCTTCTGAGGCCTTCCCTTGGCATCCTATGCAGGGCGTGGAGAACTTGGAAACTCAGCTTGATTCCAGAATCTGCTACACTCTGGATCGGTGTGGCTGCCAAGGAGCAGATTCAGGTGCAGTGATGCACAGCAAGGACGGGCTGTCCTTTTCCTGGGAGGAAACCTGGCACACAACTGCCATGACAGATTGCCAAGCATCTTGGCAGTGCTTGATAAAGCCAGATGTCTTATGTCTCAAACCTTTCTCTTTATACCGAGCACAATGCAGCAGGTCTGACATGAGGTGGACAATGGGAAGGATAATTTCATTTTAAGAGTTTCACAGTTTTTCCCTTCAGAATCTCTCCCAAGTTCCCTCTTAATGTGGAGATAGATGAGTAATTTTCAAGCAATAACAAATAATATTTATTCAGAATTTCTATGCATAATAGATGTGTTAATTTATGAAAACCAAATAATATTTCAAAAATTTAAAGATAAATAAGCTCCCTATTTTATGCACAGTCTTGTGGCACAGTTAAAGAAGCCAACTCATGAAGCAGAGGATAGAACTGAGACTCCAGCCATGGCCTCTGGGCCGCTTCCTCGTTCCTGAGAAGTGCCTGTTACAAGGATGCATAGGGAGCATATGAGAAGGATAAGTCTTAGTGACCGGAGTTGGGTAACAATGGCTGGAAACAACTAATTGCATATTTTAAAACAGCTCTAGAGATAGTGTTATTAATACAAGGGGAGGGTAAATTTCTAAGATGGTGTGTATGTCAGTTATTTTGGTCTAACATACCTTATACATTATGCACATCCATAAACACGAATGACTATTATGTGCCAATCAACTTTATAGTAAACTTAGCAGATAAACTCACTTTTTAACAAATATGAAGGAGGCTGGGATACAGCTCGATGGTAAGGCACACCTTCCTCATCTGCACGAGCCCTGAGATCCGTCCCTAGCACTGCACATCCAAACAGGTGGTAAGGGAAGAGGTGTCAATTACAGAGCCCATTCAGTGCAGACAACCAGACCAGGAAGGCTGAGCAGCTTCCTGTAGGTCCCCTAGCCTGCTGCTGGCTCCCCAAACCAGTGCACTGGGGAAGCATTGCCATCACCACTCCTGGAAGAACAGCACACTTTTTTTTTTTAATTTTTGAGTGATATAGGAGGACCTAGGTTCTGCGATTCTCTTAAGAACTTGTCCAGGACATTCACCTGTCCTTTGTGGAAGGACATCTGCCCCAAAGGGAAAATCCTCGTTACATTCTCAAAAGCAAGCAGGAAAGGGGGTTCAAGGGTGTGAGAGCCTCCCCCATGCACGGAGCTACGCAGAGCACTGGTGTCTGGTGTTGGGTCTCCAGCTTCCCTCTGCTGCTGGCTGGTGCACAAGGCTGCTGCAGGAGGTTTGCAGAGATGATATGTTTCAGAGAGGGGTTTGGACACTTCCTTCCCCCTGGAATGGAGACCTCCTGCAGACTCAGGTGTCCAGCTTTCCGTAGCTGGAGCAATGACTGACATTGACTTTGTTCATTCCCTGAATACCTGACGTTTCTTAGTCTTTTGGATCCCCTATAGTTTATGTCTCTCAGTCCTTTACCTGAGTTTGAGCTTGGGGTGAGTCATCTTCTGAGGTGGGAAGGACTTTGGCATCCTCAAAAAAAGGAAAGCTCCCATTTTCCTCAGGGCTCTGTAGCTCCATTACAGACCCAGCTTTGTTTTTTTTTGTTTTTTTTTTGTTTGTTTGTTTTTGTTTTCAGATATCTCCCACTTTATAAAAAGCTCCCCCTAGCTCTATAAAAAAGTGCCCCTTCAGACTCAGTATTAATTCTTCCTCATGCCAACGCTCTAGGAGGCTGCTTAAAGGATCTAGGTTATAGAATGAAGAGACAGGCCCAGTAAGTTGCAGAATTACAGGACTCTCTTGGGTTGGGACTGGGCTCAAATTCAATTCTGACAGCCTGAGCTTTGGCTTCTGTGCCATGCTGTGCTCTGTTTTATAACCTCCAGGGACACTTTCTCAGGGCCCTTCCTGGGTGCCACAAAAGATGAAATCTGTTAAGACTTGCCTGGTAGGAAACCAGGAAGCTCCTCCCAAGAGAATGGGTAAACCTAGATATTCAGAGACAGAGGAGGAGACAAAGAATCCCCCCTACCTCCCACATAATATCCCCATGAGGAAACTGCAGATTAGTGAAGTTCAAAGACTTCCCCAGATGAGGGTGTTAGATAGTGGTGGACTGGAACACGCCCCACGCCTCTGCCAGAGCTTGTTCCTAGAGAAAGCAGGGTGAAAGGCCTGGTGACAGCATGCCTTAGAAATGCAAAGGCTATGTCTGGGCTGGAATAGTTCAGGGAAGGCGGGATGCATGCTAAAAATGTTGGCTAATTCTTGCCCTCTCATTTTCAAACACCCAAGTTGTTCTGGGACCCAAAGATGGAATCACCCACTTTCTTAATGGAGACCCCCTCCCTTCTTAGTCTCCCATAGAGTGGAGGGATGCTTTGCCCAAGCCATGTAGAGCGGGGTGGGGGTGGGAGGGCAGCACCTTTCTTAACTCCCTGCAGTGCCCTCTCAGGACACAAGGAGAACTGATTTCTGTGCGGTAGGCTTGTGGAGACAAATGACCTTTCTGGCTAGGACCCTAGCCTTGAAAGAGTCAAGGGCTTACTTGAAAGCCACACTTTGTCACACATCAGGTGGGCTGAAGGGGACCTTGAGCTACCCATCTTTGACAGGGACATTTGGAGTTGTCAGCGTTCGAGTAGGGTGGCCAGCTGCAGCCCGTTTGGAGGAGGCCTGGGGACCCTCTGATGCTAGGACCGGGCCTCCAGGAAATCCAGCCTCTCTCTGCCCCCGCTTTGACTCCATCTCAGCCAGGTTACACTCTCAGAGTTTGTGAGTTCGTGGCCAATGTCTGATGGCAGCAGAATTATGAATTACGGAAACATGAGTCTGTTGATGGGTTGGCATGAGAGAGCTCACTATTCTAGTCCACACAGCCCCCAGAATACCACTCAGGAGAAATGAGGCAGCCGGGCGCTCTCTCAGCTGTGGAGATAAAACTGTGGGTGAAATGGAACGTTCTGGCCTCTTATTCCCCTAAGTCAGGCAGTGTCCCCCAGCCCCAGTCGCTAAATGGAAACTGAGTCCCTCTAGTCTTCCAGCGGAGGCTCTAGCCTCTTGTATTCTCCCACAGGGCACACGGGCCGGACGCGGTGCTGATGGCGGAGGGCACTCCACCCACTGAGCTGACGCAGTCTCAGATGCTTCACATCGCTCAGCAAATTGCAGCCGGCATGGTCTACCTGGCGTCCCAACACTTTGTGCACCGTGACCTGGCCACCCGGAACTGCCTGGTAGGGGAGAACCTGCTGGTGAAAATTGGGGACTTCGGCATGTCCCGGGACGTGTACAGCACCGACTACTATAGGGTGAGTAGCTGCCCCAGCAAGGAGTTACCATTTCCGGGTGGAAGGGCCATGTATTCAGAAGGTTGGTTGAGCTGGCATAAGAAAATATCGCTGATGAATAGAAATTGACTCTTCATAGTTCTTGAGACCTCTAAGACCACGGTGGCAGTGGTGTGACTTCCTCCCGGAGCTCTCTCATCAGAATGCAGGTAGCTGTCATCTTTCCATGTCATCTGTTATCTTTGTTTTTCTTTATTTTTACATGCATGGGTTTTAATGGAAGAACACACTTCTAAATCTCCTCCTCCAATTTGGATACCAGCAAGACTGGACTAAAGTCCACCCTATTGGTCCCATTTTCCCCAAGACACCTCTTTAAAGTTCTACTTGGAACATGATGATGCTCTCAGTCATGTCTATGTCCAACATCTAAGTGTTAGGGAGAACCGTCCTTCACCCTGGCTTTCCAGATTATTGCATCTCATTGCCACGACAAAAAGGCGTCAGCATTTCCAGGGTGTTGACTGAGGACACAAGGATCAAGGCTTAACCAAGAACTTCCGTTTGATGGGGAAAATGATAGCTAGACACCGTAAGGGTTGAACGTGTATGGTTTTGTTTCAATAAACGGTCTCCAGGAGACCTTGGCGGCTCCCTCACAGAGCCACAGTGAGTGAAAGTGGCGGAGCTTTCACACAATGGTGCTGTGGGAAAAGTTCCGCCAGTCTGCTCTGGAAGAGTCCCTCACAAGCGGATAGACTTACAGATAGTGCTCCCAGTCCGTTGGCAACTTGGGGTTGGCACACTCGGAGAAAACAGAGGTCTTGGAACCTGGATGTGAAGAATGGGGATGTTTCTGGAAACCCAGCGATCATGGCAGAGGGAAGGTTTAGCATGGGCTTGAAATCTTCTGATTATTGTTTGTGTCACTTTCCCCCTTCCAGAGCAGGGTGGGGCTGGTGGAGGCAATGCCACTCTTGGCTTTGGCACAGCTCGTGGCTGTTTACCTTGACGACGAGCCCTCTCAGCTTGTATCCTATATCCTTTCCCACTGCCAACTCTGCTACACTTGGTTTAAGAAAATGAATCTCGCCCTTGTTCCATGCTCTTCAGCAGACTGTACTGTGATGGTTTTTCCTTTGATAAGCTCGTATCTGGTGTGTGACGAGTAAACAGAAGTCAAGTTGGGGGACTCCCTTAGTATTTGCAGAAGATGTGAGCAGCCTTACTCTTAAGGGTCCGAAACAGAACTTGGAAGCAGCACCTGCCCTAAACCTAAGTGGTTGACTTTTCCCAGGCGTCTAAAGTGCAGATGGTATTTTATAGGCATATCTGTTTTATTAAATTTGTTTTTCTTGGTGTGAGGTGGGGATAAGTATCTTCCAGTTTCAGAGAAACAAGGGGATACTTCTCTGAGGAAAGGTTTTGCTGATCTTCATGAGTATGAAAAGAAGAAATACATGATCCAAGTAGCAGCATTTTAAAAAAAATAAATGTTGTAAAGGACTTGGAACAGAGAAAGAATTCAATAAATGTTGTGATTTAAGTTTTATGCAAATCAATAAGGGCATATTTCATCCTAAGGCTAGGACCGAAGTAAGTGAAGCCCAATATTGTCAGAGCATCTCTGAAAAATAATTTGGAGAACAAGTAATGAAAATCTCGATAATAAAAAGATCAGCCACTCGACTCAAAACTAAGCAAAATACTTGAACAGATATTGTTCTAAAAATGGTAGGGAAGGACCAAGAAGCACACAGAGAGATGCTGAGCACCCCAGTCAGTAGGGGACTAACGGACAATGACAGTTACTAATGCTGTAACAAAGATGAACAGACAGTAATACGTACTGGTGAGGGGGTGGGGAAATTAAAATTCTCATCCATTGCTGGTGTGAAGGCAGAACTATGCAGGTGCTTGGGAATATAGCTTAGCAATTGCTTAGATTTTTCAACATAAAGCCACAATGTAACCTACCAATCCTATTCCTATGAATATGCTCAAAGGAATAAAAGTTCTGTTTACACAAAAGCAGGTATGAAAGGTATTTATGATGTCTAAAGAGTACAAGCAACTTAAGTATTGATTAACTTCCGAATGGATAAGCGTGACATGGTAAATCAATAGGCTGTTATATTGATAGGCTGCTATTCCGCCATACAAAGGAATGGCATCTGACCCATGGTCCAACATAGATAAAATGTAAAACATCCTATCAAGGAGCTGGAGAGATGCCCAGTAATTAAGAGCACTCGCTGCTCTTGCTGAGGACCTGGGTTTGGTTCCCACCACCGACCTAGTGTTGCACAACCAACTCTAACCCCAGTTCCAGGGGATCTGATTTCTGACTTCTTCAGGCACCAGGCACACACATGGTGCACAGACATAGATGCAGACAAAGCCTTAACACACACACACACACCAAATTAAATATATCTAAAAAAAATAACAAAAAGAAAACAGGATATAAAGAGAAGGAAGCTAGGCACCAAAGGCCAGTGTTGTGTGACTCCATTTACAAGAAGTGTCTAGAAGGAGAAAATCTAAGGAGACAGGAAGTTGGTTGGTCTTGGGTTGAGGGAAAGGAACATCAAAGAGTGACCTCTGCTGGGTACACTGTTTAGGTTTTGGGTCTGTGATTTCAGAATTATATAGTGGTTTAAGGTTCATTATAAGTAGACTTAAAAATCCATCAGCCTTGTGAACTTTTAAGAAAAGAAATCTTGAAAAAGAAAGCACTGAAATAGTAGCTGCCATTATTCATATATATATATATATATATATATATATATATATATATATATATTGATCTTGAACATCTGTGAATTATTTAAACAGTGGCATTTGTGGTCTGCCATCTTTGATTGTTGCTTGTTAGGCAAACCCTCCACTTATGCCTTAGTAAGACCCAATGCCTGGGATCCAAGCCTTTTGCTTTCCTGGGCACCCACAGGCATGTGGTATACATGAACTCGCACAGGCACACACACAGACACACACGCAGGCACATATATTAAAAAAAATAATAATAAATCTATAAAAATCCTTTAACTTCATCCCTGCTTGTGGCCATTACTCAATTATACTTGCAAAGTCTGTACTTTTTGGGGGGGGGGGGCTTTTTGTTTTGCTTACTCAAAATGAGGAAAAGGTACCAGCTTTCCACTGGCCACTGTTGTAGGTGGAAAGGAAGACAAGGTTGGTGGGTAGGAGCCTTGGGACGTGAGTTAGGTATTTTATTTAAGCTTTTTCTAAAATTTCAAAATGGTGGCTCACCTTTTGGCTTCATGGAAGCATCATCAAAGAATTAACTTGGGGAATACTTTGTTTATTGAAATGGTGAAGCATGCAACCCACCACCAAGTCCATCAAACAGGGAAGCAGGGATGATGCTTAGTTTTTCAGGAGAACTGCAAAGCACCCACTGAGGGAGACCCTGCACACCCTTGTCTCCACAGCAAATAACCCCATCTGTGAGATTAATCCTAATCCTCCCGCCATCACCCTGCCACCACGATCGTGAGCTTTTCTGGTGGATGCTTCTCCAGCACCTTCCACAAGTGCTTTCCCACTATTTTCTTCCTACATCACATTCTAAAGTGAGAAGTTGGTGTAGATGACGTTTGATGTAAGAAACCCACAGTAACCAAGGAGAGATTGGGCTAGCCTAGTGACTTAGTTCCTTTTCTGCTGCTGTGATGCAATTCAATGACAAAATCAGCTCACAGAACAGTGAGCCTCAACCTCCCAAACGCTGTGGCCCTTTAATACAGATCCTCATGCTGTGGTGACCCCAACCATAAATTTATTTTCACTTCTACTTTATAACTGTAATTTTGCTACTGTTTTGAATCATAATGTAAATATCTGTGTTTCTGAAGGTCTTAGGCAACCCCTGTGAAAGGCTCTTTCAACACTCCAAAAGGAGTCACGACACACAGGTTTAAAACAGCTGATAAAGAAGGAAAAGTTTATTTGTCTTAAGGCTCCAGAGAACTAGATATCCATAATGGCAGGGAAGGTGTGGCAGCAAGGAGTAGGTGTGGTAGCTGGAGCTGGAAGCCAAAAGATCTTATCTCAGCTGCACACACAGGAGGCCCTGAGAGTAAGCTGGAAGTGGGCTGACTAAAATCTCACAGCCTGCCCCCCCCCCCTACCCGTGATATACTTCTTCCATCAATACTCCCTATTCTAAAAGTCCCATCGTCTCTCCAAACATTGCCACCAACTGCCGCTGTTCAAATGCATGAACTTAGCGGGGACCGTTCTCATTTAATCCACCACACCTGGCTTATCTTACATGGAAAGATAGCAAGTAGGAAAGGACTGACTGGTTTGGGAAGTAACAGATCCCTAATCTTTAAGAATAATCTAAACCTACTAGGTGCCTGAGTCTTCTGCTTATGGTGACTTGTGCATAGCCTTGTGTAGGGTAGCCAGTGCACAACCTTGGGGGTGGGAGTGCACAAACTTGTGGGGTGGCCTCAGCTCCAGACTCTTGGGAATAGCTGGTGGCAGCTGCTCCTGGTCACGAGGGAGCTGGCAGCACCAGGAAGCCTGCACCTCAAACCCATTGCAGCTGAGCTAATTACATCCTCCCAGTGAAGAGTTTGCATGGAAACCAGCCCAGCATGGCGGGCCCAAACTACTCCAGCATTTTTGTTTTCTAGATTGTTCTAATTAGCAGCTCTCTGCACCAGCCCTCTATTTTGTTTGGATGATCAGAAGCAGATTTGTGTCATCCTGGGCTAGGACATCACTCTACTTGATCATTACTCTGCCACTGTGGACCCATTGAGTTCTCTTTTCTTTCTTTCTTTTTTTAATTTGCACTTTGGTAGTTTTCTATGTTTGGGTCTAATTTGAGTTTAAAATTAACATAATCTGTTGGTGACTAGAGAGACCCAAACAGCTGATATTTTAGCTTTTTAAATCCTTGGGCTTTAACTTTATGTAGAAGTGATAAGAAATTCCATCCTTTAATTCATCTTTTACTTAAGAGTGAAGAGAAAAGAAAAGAA